TATAAACCGTTATAGTACTAGGGATAATAAGTCTTTTGCCTCCGATATGATCATAATGGTTATAGACGGCGACTATATTTCGCGTAGGGGCAGGCTCTGGGAGTTAACTAGTAGTGCGATAGCTAGGTACTAGTAATCTACCGCCGCGCTAAGGTTCGGAGCCTAAAATTAATAGTAAACTTTTATAAGCCTCGTTATTATTTACTAGTAAGCGGGGGTAATAGCTTACTAGAAATAATTTTAGGAAAGGGTTTACTAGTAATATAATAACCCTAGACTAATAAGATATAATATTAATAGATTATAATTACTAGTTAGTATAACTAAAAGAAATGCGTGGTTCTAAATTTCCTAGTAAGCGCTAGGGATAGTTAGCGGCGATTACTAGTAAGTACTAGCGAATAAGATTAGGTAATAGTAAGTGGGAATCGGAAGGCTATCGAACTAACCAATAAGCGCTAAGGGTAGGGCAAACTAAAAACAGAAACTATTCTTATACCTGCCCTTTTATGACCCTGCGAAACATATATGCCCCTCCTTAGTAGCACCTAAGTTCGCGTTTCTATCCCTAAGCCAAAAGAGGAGCCGAAGAGACGGCCTATAAGAAATATTAACCCGTTCTAGTATAATCTTATTCTCGAGGAAGTATTATGTAACCGCCAGAAGTATATATGGCTCGCGTCTGCGCGTCCTGGCGGGCACTGCTCATAATGCATGGATCGCAATTACCGCCCTATCAATATATTACGTTTGTTTGAAAGGGGCACCTCAATTACCGAGATAAACGATATGTTCTAGCTCATGGATATCGATAGCGAGCAAATCGTTGCGTACCCTGCGTCTAAGACGATAAGCGAAGCCAACTTTACTTCTAACTTAGCACACATAGATAGCAACGCTTACAAAGCGGCTTTACATAAGAAGCCAGGTTTTGGGTCTAGAGCTTGGGAGAAACCTCCCACTAGCATCTGGAACTCAGTGCGCTTAGAGATACGCCGAAATGCTCCCTATAGGGTATCACGTGGGCGGTATGATAAATAGAAAAGGAAAGTCTTATTCGTAGGTTGGCAATTTTATATCCTAAAACGAAATAGTCAGATCCGTCGCCGACTACCCAAGGCAAGCCATAATTTTCGCAAGTTGGCTCATATGATGATGTTAGGCCAAAGGTTGGTCGGGCATGATCTAATGGACCTCTTCGCCTAAAATTGCGTAAAGATAATGACAGACTGGATCTCATTGCTTAGCAAAACCATAATACCAGGCGATCTCGAAAGCTTAGACCCCCGGATCATTTCTGCTTTTAAAGTTATGGATAGGATTATTTGTGGACAAGAAGGAACGTACTTGCTGCGATGACTAGCTTACGTGTAGTTAATGCAGACATTTACTACGCTCGAATCTAATATAAGATTAGAGAGGGAAAATAGACGGGCACCACGTGAGCCTTGTTATCGCGACGCGACCGTTGCCATCGACATTTATATGAAGGCTTAGGAAGACCGTTTATATCTAGACGCTTTGAGACGTGAGCTGAAAGAATGCAAACGAGCTGGTAGAAGCTGGAGCGACCTAGCGGGGCCATCTCCACTCTTCACCATGATATATTCGGATGCTGCTGAGCCGGTCGTGTATGCTATGACCCGTCCTTAAAAGATTTATTACTGACTCTTAGAAGGCGGGACGTTAGAAGATAAGATAGTGTAAGCCTAAAGTTAGTGGCGGCATGTGTCTTGGAGCGTTTAGACAAGGCTGTTCGCATTTGTACTCTGCTCACCGAGAGTGCAAAATTGGCTGTTAGAACCGGTTGTTTAGTTGATATGCGGCAGATTGCGGCTGTATAAATAAGGGAAGTTCTTAAGTAGTTGTTTGGGGGCGCAGGTGCCGCTGTCCCTCTAAGCTTTGGCGTTGGTGTCGGGAGTGCGCTGGGCTCTGGCTCTTGTAGGGGCCTGGTTTAGGAAGCGTGTTTTTGGATATGATGTTGACGGAGCGCTGGGGACTGGTTGCGATGGGGCGCATTCATGGCCGATTGCTGGGAGGAGATATGGGGCTAGGAGCTATGCGCGTGCCGGGCGCGGTGGTGGTGTGCTCGGCTCTGCTTGCCATGAGGCGGCGCATTCGGAGCGAGTTGCTGTAATGCGCTCCTAGGGCCGGGCGCTGGAAGGAGCGCTGGCTATAGGGTGCTGGGCTTGCTGTCGGACCTTGGTGATAAGCAAGGCCTATTGACCTCTCGGCAACTGTCATGAGAGAGTTTTCTGCTAATAGAGCTGAGGGAGACTCGCTACTCGTATTTTAATCTGGCCTCGTTTAATATATTTTGTCTTTAAATGAACCGTTTCTATATATATATTAAAGTCTTATGTTTCGCAGCGTGAAGGATCTTGTAGTCGAGCGCATGGATAGCAAAAGATCCATATGCGCGTCATAGTTAACTAGACACCGAAGGTTATGTAATCGGCTGAATACTAACCCCGCAGTAACCACCTGGAAAGTCTCGCCGGTCTTTATTACTATCATACTATCTCCTAGCGCGCTAGGTTTTAGGTTTCGTGACGATGGCAGATGGCCTTAGTATCGCTTCCAGCGTCATCGCACTTGTTGCTTTTGCCTTTAAGTCCAGCACCGTTCTATATACGATAGTCCGCGACTTCTAGAGCTAGGATAAGAACGTCCGCGCGCTCAAAAATGAGCTATCCGACCTTAGAGGGGTTCTAGAGTTACTCGCTGATACGGTTGACAATAATTCGAACGTCAGTTTTGATGCTCTAAAGCTTCTTTTACTTCGCTGCGGCAAGACTTGCGAGGAGTATGGCGCTCTTATTGCTCGGTGTACGAAGTATTCCGGCTCATCTCGACTAAGCTTGCGGGATTAGATTAGCTAGTAGTACCTCAAAGGAGATATAATGGATTTCAGGGAGATACTTGCTGGATATAAATCCACTATCAATATAGCGCTGGCCAATGCAAACATGTAAGGAACAAACTCTAGGCCTATATTTGCGCAGCTAACTAATGGATAGTGTTTTCTAGACGCATGGTCTCCTTAATAACGCCTGACGCACTTGAAGAATACAAGGACTTAATATGCGATACGTCGAGTGATCTATAAGAATACATGACACGATTGGATGAAAGAGTGCGGGCTTTAGCTGCTTCCGAGGCTGATGGTTCCGTCTGAGATGCGCCTGAGTGGATGGCTATGGTGGAGGAGAAGCAGAGTACTTAGGAAGGGTTAAAGATCTATTCACAACTGTTAGCCCAGATTAAGCAACTCGAATCGGCCTCGAAGGAGTACCCGCAGTTCTTATAGTAGCCCTCAGCACATAAGTTTATTAGGAGTGGCTTAGGTATCGCCAAAGGCTCTATCTAATCCCTAGTATCGCAACTCCAAACCCATGAGAACGATATTGACAAAAGAATGGAATCGATGAGGTCTATAGTGCCCTTATCTGAGTATGAAGCCACCTAACTTGCTTAGCTCTAAGAGACTAAGGAGAGCCTTCGCCAATGCATAAGCGTTGTCGCTGATGCGGGCGAGACTTTGACCAATGAGCGATGCAATATTTTCGAAGATATCACAATGGCTGATAGTAGCTATGGCATTTCGGTCTCGACTATGAAAGACCTCGTTGTTGCGAGACGCCTTAATTTGAGCGGCCAGGCCCGTTACTTGGGTGGGCAAATAAGCGATAAGAGCTACCAGAAAATAATCGACGGCCTAACACACCTGGACTTAGAAAGTGCTAAGTCATATGGAAAAAGCGACAGGAAAACGTCCTTTCCTCATGGACCGAATAATAGAGGCGTTATGTCGGATGGGTTTGAGCATTATGGGCGTGGGCATCGCCTGCCGGATAAACAGTGATAAACTAGGTCGCGTGGATATGGGTGTACTTAGCCGCGTCATCCAGAACTACATAAAGAATCTGGGTCCAGAATGGAGGTTCTTATTGACAACGGTATGATATATTTATGATATGACAAGAATATCCCCGTTTCGGTAATGCAGGCACTTGCCATTTGAGCGACGAGAATGATCGGGCGATAACCCCAAGTCATAGTTAACTAAGACAGACTGAGCAGGTGGCTATCAGGGTGGAGTTCCCTAACCCCGCATCGATAAGAGCCTGATCCACGGTGAGTGGTGACGACTATGCGGGAGGCTGACCATACCTTTATTCCCTCAAGTTCGAGCACAACTAATGATGGCGGATCTGCTTAGCGTTATTTCTGGTCTTTTGGCTGTTGTTACCGCTACGATCTAGTCTAGCAAGGTGCTTTACCAAACTATTTAAAGTTTTAGGGACTATCCTCGGTCGGTTCGGCAGCTAAGGGACGAGCTCGACGCTCTCGCTGGCGTCCTCCATTGTCTAGAAGATTCCGCCAGATGTGAACCCTCTATACTTATCCCACTGAAGCTTCTACTAGAGCGGTGCACTGAGGCCTGCGCAGACTTTCGCAAGCTGATAGTCAGGTGCACTAAGCACTCTGGAGAGGAGGGAACCACTAGCTTTAGAGACTAGGCAAGACTTAGATACATAGATAATGATATCAACGGTTTCACGGCGATGTTAGCTGGCTATAAGGCCACTATCGCTATCGCTCTCGCCGATGCAAACCTGTCAGGTAACCTGTTCCTTGTGCCAGCTACTTGACTGACCTGAGTGATTAGACGTTTAAGCATGGTAACCCTCCACGTCCTAAACGAATACAAAGATATGATCCGAGACACGAAGCAAGACCTTGAGGCCCATCTCGAGGAGGTCACTGTTAAGTTGCAGTCTCTGACTAGGGATAGCAAAAGCTCCCCCAGACAAGAACCCGCCGATATAGAGCGCTTTCGAAACGAGCGGGAGACAACCGAATAGTGTCTCGAAATTTGCTCGCAGGTGTTGTCACACATCAATGGGCTGCGGCTTGTGCCGGTGGCTAAGGGGGAAGCAGCAAGCGGTACTACATCCGTAGGGCTATCGACATAGGACCTGACTCGTGCACACATCATGACTCTCTCGACACTGAAAGACTGTTGCGACAAACTCAGTGATACGCTAGGTCGACTGCGAGCCCTTGAAGAAGACACTAAGGGTAGACTCCAAACAGTGGAGGTTGCACTGGAGCAGAACAACACAAGCCCGGCCCAGGAAGTACGAAATGAGACCCGAAGTCTTGCAAGGGAGTTTGACAGTGTACGGCAGTGCCTCAGTATTTGCTCTAATGCATCTGTTTGGGTTAACTCTGGCAAGGTTCACACGCTGGAGGATATCACGATAGGCAAGGATGGAAAGCAGATGCTTATTGCTACCCTCGGAGAGCTTTTTGACGCGAGACGGGTGCAACTAGGCCAGGGAGCAATGCAGGTAGTAGCGTCATCTTCTGACGCATCGCTGCAGGAGCTGTTTAGGGCGCAGAGCAGACGATAGTTCAATTGAGGTTTTAAATATAAGCGTAAGCTCAAACGAGCTCAATACAGTTCATCCTTAAGGCTCAGCTATTTGCATGCCTTCCTCTGGTCCCGAGTGGCCGCGTGAAGCCTTGAAAGGAAGGCGTCGCAAGTTTATCATCGGTATGCGATTCGGGCGCTCTGGGTCGATTCCGGACAGCCTCTGTAAGCCCCTGAATGGATGCATTATTCATTGTTCCCTTGCATTGCCAAGAGTTGTCTTTGAGCTCCACACGACGGGTATCGTAGAGATGATTCTTAGTCGACACGAATAGTTGGACCGCGTCTGTGTGAAGCTTTACGTCGTGGGTATGGTGGGTCGGAAGGGTGGCTTGGTCGGGTGGTGTTTGAGGTTCGCTTGAAGATGGGAGGCCACCCGATAGATCGGGCGAGCCCGGTGAGCTTGGGGGGCGAGGGTCCTGATTCATACTTTATGTAACGCGATTGCTAGACGCGCAAGGTAGCGTGGTTCGAGCGCTATTGCCGTTGTTAGTTGAGAGGTTTTGGGGGTTGAGCTAGTAGTAGAGCACCACAAATACCTCTGGAACGCGATGGCTAATATGCCCGTCACGTGAGCTCGTTAGCCGTATCACATGACCTTTGACAATATCATAATCTCTTCTTTGCTGATAAGATAAGATTTGCTGGTTACACAGTGTTTCGCCATATGCTGATAAGATTGTCAAATCGTAGAGTTATCATTGGATAGTGAAAGACGGGTAGAGGATCACTAGTCTATGTTTCGAAAAACAAACAGAAATAAGCAATAGGTCCTGACCCGAGCTCCGGGCTCGGAGAACTGCCTAGACTACCAACCCATAAGGCCTCAGCATCATTAGCCATGGTATAAAAACCTCTAGTAGAAAAAGGTGGAGCACCCCGGCCGGCTACACGGGCACCTCCCCTCCACTCACATTGCTCTACGTCTTGGCGATCGGCGATGGCTCTGGATACTAGGAGACTCGATACCATCATCTGAAACTAATGTCAACGTCACAATTACGTTCATATTGTGATCCATCGAGAGGTTGCTATAACATAATTAAGGTGAGGGTATTGAAATGGCAGTCTAGATAAGACGCTGGAAATAGGGGGGTTGTCTGTGTCCTCGGGATGGTGCCCCTGCTTAGTGATAGCTTGCTCTGAGATAAATCAACGTAAGCGACGTTCAATCGCTTTAATGTGGGCTGATATGTGATACCACCTGTTCTCAAATCTTAACCCATGTCGTTGAAGTTGGTGGGCCGATGACGAACGACGGGAGCCTACTTTAAGAAACGAAAGGATCTCGGGATTTTATTTGCTTCTGAATGATGTAGATAAATTTAATCTGGACTCGACTCTATCAACTGGGAGCCGCAAGCTTCGATGATGGTTAGGCCCAGGAGTTGGTTCCTGGGGAGCCATGTGGTGTTTGTAACCCCCCTGCCTAACCTAGTGGCGCCACCACGTTGGTTCAACATGAAGCTAAATTAGATCCTCGCGGGGAGCATCCGGACCGCGACAAGAGCCGGATTCATCAATCAAGGTTTAGACCTAGCGGCTCTTGATACTATATTAGAAGCGTAATTACGAGTATTTTCACGGCCAAATAATCAATCTTGCAGGTTACGCGTACAAGAAAAAGAAGAAACGGGCCTCATAGTGCTCAATCAATTTAAAAGAGGAGAGGAAATGAGTTTTTTTTGGGCCTACTCGCTTACCCGACACACCTGACCTGTAGGCCCTGTCCCCTACCCTGTTGCTATTCTGAGCTGAGCTGAGCTTTAGAAGGGGCTCGCCTAGGCTTAGTACCCCTCTTTTAATCTTCTGATTTCTCTATTTTCACTTTACTAACACCACGATATTAATAACCGCCACCATAGTCCAATATGGCAGGCAGCAGCCCAAAAAGCCCATCTGCCGCATCGCCTCGGTCGCCTCAATCGCCTCAATCGCCAGAGGCTGACCAATCACCAGAGCAGGTCTAAGTGGGCGTCATCGAGGCTGATGAGGAAGCAGGCGAGGAGGATCCCACTCTGGGATCCGACGCTGAGAGCTCTATCGCTTCCCTGAGCTCGAGTATTCTTAATTACCGCACCATCAACGGCAGAACGTACCACAGCGAGAAAGGAAACGCTGCATACTGGTAGGCGCTAGTCTTGCCCTTGAAGTGAGCCCTGCTATCTGACCATTCCGCCAGGGGCGCCAATGATGAACGTCAAAGTGAAGCTATGGATATTGGGTAAGTTGAGGACTTTTTGCCTTCAAGTTTGACTATTAAATCGTGCCCGGCCCTGACGATTTTTTAGCCACCATATGTGGACCCTGTCCCAAGATGGAGCACTTCACTTGGCTCCTTTGAAGGATGATATGCAAGTACGTCCATGTATCTTCAGCTAACACCCAGGTCTGTT